GTATAAATTAATCCTTTGATATCGGGTCTGCTATTATCGTACGTACACAAGGCGATGAGAACGAGGATGATCGTGGTGAAAGTGGCCACTATGTAAAACATCACTTGCAGTCCTCGACCAACAATGTTCATGTCTTCGCTGTTCTGTACCAGCATCGGTGGAAACAGGAAACCGATGGCTATTCCTAACTGCAAATAACGATGATTAAAAAGAATTAAAAGTGACGGAAAAATTATATTTTAATCAGAGAAAGTAATTGTACATGCGATCAGAAGGATGAGACTTTCTGTTGACAAAAGAGAAAGGAATACGTGTCCCTATATTAATTTTATCAAAGAGAAAGGCTATATATAAACTGTTGGGGAGTTCATAATGAAATAATTCAGCCGGAGACACGAGACGTCCATTATTGTTCCAAGGAAGCGAGAGATCATTATTCTTTCAAGCCCATCACGAGCGATTCCCGGCCGAGAGAGTTCCGCTCTCGAAAAGCTCCGCGAGAATCAACGCAAACTTTTATAGCTTCGCCTATGACAAGGTCAATGATCATTCGTATCAATTTCACGACGACACCGCTTTAACGAATACCAATTTACTATTTTTATCTCTCCAATGTATCAGCTGACTGTTTTAATAACCACCACGTCGTATCCAGTATTCTTTAACAATTTTCTGTATCAGTAAATTGAAAAGTAACAGTGGATCGAACGAGCTGAAATAGAAATAATCACGTCTGAAATAAAAAAAGTCACGTGACTACCGTAGCTTCTTAACAAGGTTTCCAAAAAACGGCGCATAATTTATGAATCAGAAATAAAGCAAACTCCTTGAGAATACACGTCGGAGCTAACAGGTGTTACGTCTGAAATGTAGTACATTTAATTCCTTGAATGGGGTCCGGATCTCCCCTTTAGGTAATCGCGAAATGAAACGTGGGTGCTAAGCCGAACTCTGTTTCCCACCTAATCGTTCTGTTTAACTCGCCGACGACCCTATCCCCCTCGATTACAATTGGACTGCAGGTAGAACTCACTCGAGTCTCATTTGAGATTGGCATAGATACTATTCAATAATTAATGTAACACAAGGGTCAATTTATGTGTCGTACGGGTCAAAATTACGTATTCTAACACGAAGAGAAGATCTTCGATCGATTTTTGTATCGGTATAATTTATTCTAACATGGTATGCAGTTGTGAATCAATGAATTCATAGATTAGAAACAGGGATCTGGTTATAATAATGAGACTGGTGTATTTTCTGGGTGAAGTGGAATTAATGAACTAGGGTGAAAGCCAGCCAAAGAGGAAGTCGTAGAGGGTGTTTCAGGGTTGAGGGTGCTTAAATCAATTTGCCATCAGAGTCGCAGGAAATGAGCCTAATTGGCGCGCATTCGGAAATCATGTTAGGGGAGGAAGCGTATAGAAGATCAAAGCCTCTTTGAAATTGGTCTCACTGACGAGACTAGTTTCATTTGAGCTTCGTGAGATTGAAAAAAGAGAAGACCGACCTGATTCCCAAAAACGCCGATGCTGCAAGCACTGCTGACTTGATCCGGGCCGAACCAAACAGCCGCTAAACGGGCTGGCACTGATAAGACGAACGTTTGACTCACGGCGACGGATGCTTGACCGATGAAAGTGATCCAGAATCGATCCGGACTGACGCTGGCCACTTTTATCCAGGAACCGAGCGTCGTGCCGATCGCGCCGGCCAGTGCGGCGAACCTCAGTCCCTATGATCAAAAAATAATTTGTCTTTATGAGAAACTTTAATGTTCGTTCCACGGAAATGAATTACATAAGTTTTCTATCCTTTCACGTAAAAAAAACTTCAGATAAGTCGATGAAGCATGTAAATAAAGTGAATTTGTTTTTTCATGCACTTTTTCTCTCGCTTCGTTTATCAAAGACCTTCTGAGTGCAACGGAAATGAAAAACGCGCGTTGTTATTTGCATTTAACGCGATATGGACGTCGATAGCGAAACTGATTAGATTAATACGCGAATTTTCAAACAGACGTATCAATCATTTGTTTACAAAACGTCTTTCGTGTTTAATTAGACGATTAGGAATTCGTACGACGCCACTTACGAATCTGTCGAGAAGATAGCTAGCCGGGAAGATGAACGGAATGTAAGTTATCATGTATATCATGCTGGTCATGTCCACCAACAGGCTTGAGACGTTGTAATACGACATCACGATGTTCGATATGATGCTGTATTGGATCCATTGCATCGCGTTGCTCGCGCTGTACAGCACGAATAGTATCAGGATCAACCATCTTCGTTTATACACCTTCGTTTCCGATACCTGTAAGATAAATTTTATTCCAAAAGTTAAAATGGAGGTTGTGAAAAATAAAATTCTTGGTCATTTCGCTCATTAGTCTAAAATTCAAATGATTATCGTTTTATAATTCATAGATAAAAAAAAGTAGAGAATAAATTGACTTAGAAATACAGTTTAATGAATAATCGTTACAAAATATAGTTTCACTTCCTATCTTACATTGTGCTTATCAGTCAGTCAGTCGAAACATTAACACTAAACGTACCGGTCAAATTTTTGAATATTAGATAATATATAATTATTAAAAAATAAATAAGTATAATATGTAAACGTAAAAAATAATTAAATAAATACAGAGACTGTTGATATGATATGTATTAAAGTTTATCCAAGTTAAAGTTTTCCAATACCCGAGTATAGTAAATGATCCAATTTCCGTTCACTTAACAATTTCTAATTACCGGCTTGTTTTCGATAATTTGGCAAGCCAGTGAATAGAAATTACCACATGAATAGTAATTGAGACATGTACTATCGCACATACTTTATGTTCCCTTGAATCCAGAATCTCTTGAACCTTTTCAGCCATCGACCATCTATAACACAGTTATCTCCCAGTCCCCTGGCACGCAGATGAGCATTACAAAATTCCTTGAACTTAATTCCGGCCGCACTTAGTACTCCCGTAAATTTGAATTTCCTCTTACGTTTAAGTAATGCGTTTCTACATATAAATCGCTGATCTAATTTGGGATAAGCACCCGTTGTCGCGAAAGGCGTAATCACCTGACTCGATTCCGCACCGCTTTCCACGGCCTTCGCGTAGTCCGACGCGCTCTTCACCATTTTCGTCTCCCGTCCCTGTTCCATGATCCTCGGCAAAAGAAGACCAGTGGCGTAACGATTTTCCGCAGATCGATATTCGCCGCAGATACTTCAATCTCTTTCTGTTTACTTTTCAATATTTGTCTCGGACGTCCCTCCGTGCCGCAGCCGCCGGCTCTGGAAAATAAGAACGGACTGTTGTTTTTTATCAGAGTCGACCGAGCTCTTCGTATCTCGCCATTAAACTTGAAAAAGCTTAATCATTTCGCACGGTTTTAAGTACCAATTAGCGGCGGGTTAGCCACTCGAGCTTTGACGGCGAGGCCCGAACAATGAATTCGCGAATTTTCAGCCGGGAAAACCGCGGACGAGGACTGCTGCGCCTCGAGTGTCCTTCGCGCGACGAATGCACGCGCGCACTACCGATCTCTCCGCTACCGGTGTTCAAGCAATTGTGTATTTAAACACGACCGATCGTTTCGAGGACCTCAAAGTGGAATCATGTAAAACGTTTGATACAGTCTCAACTTATCCTACTGTTCTGTTAATAAGTACTGGCAACAATAGAACCTCCCAATGATTATAACATGAACGAGAAATCGTAATTACAATGCTTGTTTTTATAAGAGATTTTATATTTGAAACAGATTTTCTTTGAAGTAATCTCCACAGCGCGCTACATTTGATTTTCCTCTTTCTGAAGAGGAAAATATTCTCATATAAGGACGAAAAGTGTATTCCCGTAAACTCATATTTTCGGCTCATTTTGTGGGTAACATTAACAGTTTACCTTATCGCGTAACTTTCGGAGTCTACCCCCTTAAGCGTTTAAAACGTTTTAACGTAACACGTTATTTCGTGTGTGACTAACGAGATAAGCTCGGTGTCCCATTATAAGCTATTAACTTGTTTGAAAACACACGCTCTCTGGTTCATGCATCCATACATGTATGATAGATAGGATTGCGTAATCTACGATTGATCGTTTGCAATTGAACGAGTAAGCCATACTTTTACTGCTACGGCGATAAAGAACCTAAATAATGACTCACGAGTCTTACAGAATTAATTTGTCTTAAGTTTAAGGCTGTCTTTATTAAGTCTTCTTTACAGAATTAATTTGATTATCATTTGAAAACTTATTACATCAATAACAAAAAGTACTGCTCGTGTTAATGAAGTTAATTGAATTTTTTCATACAGTACGTTTCATTGACTCCCTTTATACATTGGCATATACACATTCACATGAATAGATTAGATTAATATTACATGATATAAGATTTATTTGTGTCGCTATTAATTTCTGATGTTATACGAATTGAAAGAATATTATGAAAAACTCTGTATATAATATAATAGGGGAAGACAGTAATAAATAATTCTGGTACACGAACCTTACGTATAATATGACCCGATGGGACAAGCTCGTATTCATTATCGTGGGAAAGATCATTTTCGCGATGATTTATTATAATGAAGGGTGCATACCAGGAAATCCGATGCGGGGGTGCGAACAAGGGGCTAGTTATGAGTTATAGTGACAGCGATGTCGCGAAGAATTCGCCGACGTAAAGATTTCAATAAAATCCGTTTTAAAAATAGATAAATATCTGATTGTATGCGATTCCTAAAAAATCAATTTTGCGAGTCCATCGACCTCGCACACACGTTCAGATAAGAGTTATTATCGGATAAGCTTGAAGTGATTGAGAACTCCGACGATTCTTCAATTCAACGAAGTGCCAGTATTTTG